TTTAAAAATTTAAATATTGTGATTATAAAAATGTATATATGTATATATATATATATATATAACGATCTGCAACACAGAATAAATCAGTGTTGTTGACTCTTGAAACATAAAACTTCATTAAATTAATATTTCTCATCCGTGTTTAGACAACTGAAGTACTGAATTCAAATAGGCTTATCAATTTAACTAACACAAGTCGCATTTTCATTCAGACGTAGATGATCAATACTTTTGAGTCGAGTTGCCGTGTGCACTTTGAAAAACCCATTGCATCTTTTGGAGGTTTGGTTCATTTCAGTCGCTGTCATTGTGGAATGATGTAAACTAACTAAATATAAGTGTTTCTTTATGGTAGCTAGGTAGCCATGTCTTGTTTTGTGTCACGCATGCTTAGTACCGTAGCCGGAGCCCCGTGTTTTCACCTACTGGTGCAAGGCTGATATTCAATTAATGTAAACATGGGGATGTGTGCTACTACTGTTGTTCTACTGTTTATGTGGTTTATGTTGTTGTTTTAGAGTGGATTGTGTTTAATTATGTTTCCAAAGTTTCTGTAATCCCAAAAATTATATTGGTGGTTGGCAGCATACAGTATATCACGTGTCTGTGTCAGTGGTGGCGCCAGAGGGGGGGGCTGAGGGGCTATAGCCCCTCCCCCATCGGGGAAGCATAGCCCCCCATCGAGGAAGACGATAAGTTTTGTCGGGGAACAAACAAATAAAAAAAAAATATTTACATGTAATATTCGTTTAGCCACCATATTGTTTGTGTTAACTTTCCATCACAACAACAACAACAACAACAATAAATAAAAATAATAATAATAATAATAGTAATAATAATAATATTTATTCAATGAGACTAATTAAAAATAATTTGCATTCTGTTATGACAAATACTCATTTAGATAGCCTCATGATGGTTGGAATATATCGTGATAGGTGAAGCAACCTCTACCATGAAAGCGTCGTTGACATGACAGATTTGTTGCAAAATTTCCAAAATATAGAATCTTATATAATTAGATGGTTACATTGCATACTCTTTGTTTCTTGTTTCATTCAAAATGTTTTGGTTTTGGAAGCTGATTTCAACATTAGAAAGCATAGCCTACATAAAGTCATATTATAGTAACTCGATGCCTATCAAATAAGTAATAAAAATTCGCCATAATTCATCAAATATCTGTGGCTTCCAGGGGGTGAATCCCCCTGGACCCCCACTAGGGGGGGGGCCCCTAGGCCAAGTGAGACTCGATTCGCTCCACTGGATTCGACTTTAGGTGGAGAGACCAATTTTCATTGTAGAAATGTGCTGGAGGATAAATATTGCTACTCCAGCTGTACATCATCAGCGTCACATCATTTAAAATTCCTTTATACTGTAAGAAGTAAGTTCAGTTTCTTTTATTCAAATCAAAATTGCAGCCAAGGCTGAATTATGATATCTACAAATAAAAAAAAAGGTAGGCAAATATTAAAACATCAAAACATCAATCAAACACAAGCACAAAACATGAAAAAAAGGAGATAAAAGTAACATTAAAATACATTAAAATTTGAAACATCAGAAGTACACAACAGGTTAAAAAAACATACGTAATAAAATCAATTATTTTATTATTAATTATTAAATCATTATAACTGTATTATTATATTTATTATTGTTATTATCAAATATAAAAATTAAAGAAGGAAAGAAAAAAACAATCATCTAAGCATTGCACACAAATTTAAATTTCAATTAAAATTACATCAAAATTGGGAAAGAACAATGCGACATGAAAAAAAGGGGCCAACATTTAAATTAAACAGAAAAAATGTCATTGTGAATGTCATTTAAATTGGACCAATAACCAATATGATGGTTTTGTAATGCATTTATTTAATTATTATTTTTGTTATATTATTTTTATACTGTCATTACAATAATAAATTAATAATTAACTATTAATTAATAGTTAATATTAATATAATTAACAATAATAATTACAGTAACAACCAATAATTAACTAACCATTAATCAATATAATTAATAAATAATATCAATAATAATCATAATTACTATCATTATTATTATTGACATTACTATAAGTATTATTATTGTTGTTAATTATTATTGCAGCTAAGCCAAAATCATTCATTTACCGTTGAAGTAAGAAATGGTATTGCACTTTTTCGATACCTTTTAACTCTACATTTATGGTGCTGATACCTCACTCTTCTAAGTTCCCTGTTGCTATTTTTAGCAGTATTAAACCATTTTTTGAAATGATTACAGTACTATTATTATGATTATGATTCAATCATATTGCTATGTTGTACTGTAAGCCTGAATGCCAAACAGGTACGGCATACTCAACACTCGGTCTTATCTAACAATTATACACTTCAACAAGGTCATGCTTTGGTAGATTGAACTTCCTTAATCTGCATAACATGTGCAGAAATCTACTTGCTTTAGAAATTTTCAAAATATAAATTAACGATCATAGACAAAACATGAGAGTATTGAAGTATGTGTACTTATAGTGATTAAACTTTAATAAAATATGTTGGCTCAACTTCCTCTGGGTATAGCTGAGTATCAGCTAAATGTTTTGTCATTAGGGATCACAAGTGGTAGGCGTCGACATGATGCATCTAAAAATGCATTATGTATGGAATTAAACACATTTGTATTTTAAATATTTTGTTATTGATGTAACATCTTGTTTTGTAGCCATTTCGGTCCTATTTATACACAAGTTATATTTTTTAATTGTAAAGTACAAGGATGTTTTAACATCGTACTCACAATAAATATTACGTCAGTGTCTCGGGATCTCTTTAGCATGATCAAAGATACATGGAAAGTGTTGACTAATTCCAATCTTATGCTGTGATCAGCAAGTTGTGGTGCCATCTGGAGTCACAATGATGAATTATGCATGAGAATCTTGAGGATATTTCCCGCACGATTAAAATCGTAACGGTATACTGGGTTTGGTCTACAGGAGCTCGTGTTTCGTACAGGTCATTCCATTCATAGAAAAAGCCTTTAATTGTGAAAGCGTACCTGTCATTAGCCATAGTAGCCTAGGTCAATACATATCACCGGCTGTATAAAATTTATTGTAAGATTGAAAATGTTAATCTTATTATTGTAGTAGTGATACTATGTACACATTTTAGTTATTGTTATTTATTCGTTAATGTTATTATATTAATATATAAATTTAATGTATTGGTTATAAGTATGAGTTACTATGTCCATGTTAAATTAATCTTAACTATTAAAATTGTATATTTAAATAATATAGTAATAGGCATAGCCGAGGTCTAGCCTAGAATAGGCCTAAACAAATGACTATATGTGAGTGTATAAAATATGAAAAATATTTAAAAAAAAAACATAAAATTGTGAAAGAATAAAGGAAGAATAGGAAAGAGATTTGGAGCGGCTGAAATATTTTCCGAAAATATACAATTACAATAGTAGTCAATATTGCTATTATTGCATTACATTTTTGTAAACAATTTTGGGCACTAATCGTCAGAGGTCTTGGTGCCACAGCCTACACTTTTCATAATTCAAAATCGATTAGTACCCAAAATTGTTTACAAAAACGTAATGCATCTTGAGGATATATCCCGCACCTTGAGGATATTTCCCGCACAATTAAAATTGTAACGGTACTGGGTTTGGTCTACAGGATTTTGTGTTTCGTACAGGTCATTCCATTCATAGAAAAAGCCTTTAATGGTAAAAGCGTACCTGTCATTAGCCATAGTAGCCTAGGTCAATACAACACCGGCTGTATAAAATTTATTATAAGATTGAAAATGTTACTCTTATTATTATAGTAGTGATACACTATGTACACAGTTTGGTTATTGTTATTTATTCGTTAACGTTATTATATTAATATATAAATTTAATGTATTGTTTAAGTATGAATTACTATGTCCATGTTAAATTAATCTTATCTATTAAAATTGTATATTTAAATAATATAGTAATAAGCATAGCCGAGGTCTAGCCTAGACTAGGCCTAAACAAATGACTATATGTGAGTGTATAAAATTATGAAAAATATGAAAAAATGCAAAATTGTGAAAGAATAAAGGAAGAATAGGAAAGAGACTTGGAGTGGCTGAAATATTTTCCGAAAATATACAAATTTTGGGCACTAATCGTCAGAGGTCTCGGTGCCACAGCCTACACTTTTCATAATTCGAAATCGAATCGGACCTTAAGTGATTTCCAAAAACTCTTTATATGAAATAAAGAATAATTAACGTTTAGAAAACAAACTAGAGGTAGTTTAGCTCATTCAGCTAATCTGGTGGTAGTCACTGTGTGTGCGCTGAACCGTGGAGATCTCTAGGTCCCCGGTTCAATTCCCATCGCTGCCTCTCCTTGTGTTTCAGCTAGAGGGCTGAAATACAAGTTACAATAGCGCAACGTCTTTCGGATGAGACGTTTAAGCCGTTGGTCCCGTGTGCATTTATGGCCCATGTGCACGTTAAAGAACACAGTACACTCTTTGGAAAAGAGTAGGGGATTGTCTCCCGGTGTACTGTCCAATCACCACCAGAAGGACCCCACTGGAAATAAGTCTTCTTCTAGACTTTCGTGGGCTATCCTTGGTGTTTACACCGAATAAATCCAATCCAAACTAAAACAATTGTACGTATACATGTACAATATGATCGGATGAACAAAATCATGGGTGCATCGCTGTATGTGTATGTGTTTCTGTTGTTTGTTCTGCTATATGATGACGTTCTTTTCCGTCTGTTTGAAGAATTTGCTCGTGTAGATACGCATGTAATTTTGTTCTGTATTTTTATGCATTGTTCTGTATGTACGCATCAACATCTACTTATTGAAACGTATGAAAAATAGGCCTACGTTAATTTTTAATGGATAAAAATAATTTAGTTTTTTAATCACTTATTTAATAATTAATTATCTAAATTACTTGATAAATTAATTATTAATATTAATGTTTACAGCATGACCCCAGTGATATCGGTGGCGTAGCGGAGAAAGAATTATTGGGTATCTGTTCTCTAGGGGTGTGTTTGGGCGAGAACGGGAGAAAGGTAAGGGTTCTTACCAGTATTGTATACAATAAAATACTACCGGTTTGTGCAGAACTCGGCTTCCAAAAAAAACCATTAAACTCACGGACGTAAAACCTAAGGTATTATGCAAATGATGAGTTTCTATCAAGTTGCACTGAGCCCTTGCATCACCCCACGCTTTAATTAAGAAATGGACTTTGGCGTTGGTCCACTGCATAATGTTGTTGTCTCAAAATCAAGTAATGAATTTACCGAAGCTTCAACAATAATAAAGCATACATTGCAAACTCCCAATAAATCACAGATGTGTATTTTGGGCATATAAACCATGAATAAACTTTCATTCATTGCACTGTGTGTGACTTTCTTAATTACACTTTGTAAACAATTAAGTGAGAGTTATGATTCAGTACTATTACCAACATGCAAGGTCATTGAAGGTAGTACCTGTTCCACTGTAAAGCAGCCTTCAGTTGTTTAATAGTCATAAGTCTTCATTAACATGTTGGATTATCAAATTAGCGAATATCAGCAGGCGGTCCGCGTTTGGGCTAGAACTGGAAATGGCAGTTTCCGGATTTATTCTGTGTTAGACTCTACAAAAACTCGCCCGAATGCACCCTAAGGCATGCAAGCGAAGCAAGCATTTAGATTGGGGCCTGCCAAGGCTCCCCCCTCCCCAGTTGGTAAGTAAATATATACATTATATGTTAGTTACAGTACTCTAACAAGTTTATTTATTACATTTAGCGCATAAATAACTAAATTTTCAACACATACAGATTTATTAAAATTTGTCTCTTTTCTATAACATGCACGGCCAACAATGAATGAAATTAATATGTGACCAATGCGGCCCTCCAACTGAATTTAGGTTGGTAGCCAGCCCAACGCTTTGCAACTGCTGACTTAAAAAGGTTTATTGAATTTACGTCATTTGAAAAAGTATTCCACAACCTAACTGACCTTATGGAAAAGTTATCATTTAGTTGTCTTGTATGATGTTGATCTTAAAATAATGGCTTCTGTGCTGATTAGTAGCTCTAGAATTTTAATTAACATTAATTTTTGTTTAGTAGATATTCAACTGAATGTCTACAATTAAATTCTTAGGCGCATGTGATGCTAGTGCTTACAGGATGCTTTTTACTATAATTGACGCAAAACTCAATCCAAAAGACAACTACTGTATCACAACCAATCACAGTTTAAATATATTTGATTAGCTAGGGAATGATGATCTACAGCTCAATTATAATCTGTTCCACATTTGAATAGCTTTTGCCTATATTTTCTATGGACCTCTCTCAACATCACTGTTTGACCTGAATTTTATTAATTTAAACATTTATCTCCATTGTACTCAATTTTATACTGCAGTCAGTTTATCACATTTCATAACATTTTTCATTGTTGTATTTTTTATGCTAAATTTTATATGGACCATTCAGAGTAAAGGAGGTTGGAATTATAAAAAAATATAACGCATTTTTGTATTGCACTTCATATAGACTGCTTTATTTATTTATTTATTTATTCAACCATATTTCGAGAGGGTGACCCATTCAGCGTGAGCTGATTTTAAGGGGCCCTCGACAATACAAGAACATATTTACAAAAAACAAACAGCAACAAGTTAAAAGATTATTTACAAACAAATTTGAGATGATAAAATTCAATAAAATACAAAGTGAAAAGCTTAAAAGTAGATAGAAATAAAGATTAAGTTGTACTATTATAAAATAAATAACTTTTTAATTTAGTTTTAAAATTGGAAAATGTGCTAGAGTTTCTTATAGAGACGTCAAGTGAGTTGATTAGAATATCTTCTAGTTCTACATTACATCAAATCTTCAAAACAACATTAACCTAACCTTCTGATAATTTAGAAAATTACAGAATAATAATGATTAATACTGTAATATTGAATACCTTTGTTAATAATTCCCAGATGAGAGCATAACTAATCTCATTATCCGTATCATTACAGGAATTGTGTTGAGCCCTCCAGTAGTAGGCAGTGGCATATCTAGGTGTATTGAATTGGGGCTGATGGGGGAAAGTGAAGGTCATTGTAGGGGGCCTCGATGATTATGTGAGGGGTGCTAACTCGCAAAAGAAGGTAATTTTAGGATATTTTTAACTAGTTGAGCATGATTTTTTTTTGGGGGGGGGGAATTTGCGAGTACTTTTTGGAGGGGTGTGCAGCCCCCGCCCACCCCCTAGATATGCAAATGATATTAGGTCACCCTTTTCTGACGATCCCCAACAGCGCCCCATTTTTTTAAAAGCCTGAAAATTTGTGTCGCTTGTATGAAAGCGATCAGGTTATGGATGGAAGATATTAGGGACTTTTCGAAGTCACGACGGAAACGTTACACGTCATAATTTGCATACTTAGCTCCGCCCACTTCAAAGTGCGCATGCGTAACTACACTGACAATTTTTCTTGCGTTCTGTTCAGGACATTAGTTTGATTGGTTTAGCGTACTCATGAAAACATTAGTTGTTTGAGTGGGTAGAGCTAAAATGATGTAAGGATTTTAGTAAAATAGAAATGCTGGTGAATCTGACCGATCAGCGAACAGCACTAAATTGTGGGTTTATTATATTACATCTTGAACCTTACATGTGACTTTTTGTGAGTAGGAGTTTTGGAAAAATGGAAACGACAAGGAATCCGACCGGTGAACTTACCGAAATTGAATCGTGAGTTTATTATATTAGATTATGTAAACAAATCATTTGTCAAATGCACATGTTTTATGTTTACATTCACAGAGTGCAAATTCACAGAACTCTGCAAAAAAGGAATACAGTAAATAAACTTAGGTGGATCCTCTATACAAAGACTGCTTATAAACTGAGCCTATGCCCTGGAGACATAGGCCGCCTAGGCCTAGATGTCTGTAACAGTGTAGGCAAGGCCTTCCCAAATAAATATAGGACTAGTTTGGCCCGCCACCCACTTTTTTTTTCAATATAGTATAAATAAAAGACAAATAAAAACAGAATTTGAAGAAGTTCTCTATTGGGCTACAATGCAAACTTATTACAGTAGTAGGTCTACCCAAATCGAGTAACTGTGTTTTTCAAAATCATGAAAAAACATAAATTGTTCCAAAAAAATAATTGAAAATTAATATAAATTGTGTTTAATTATATCATATTTTAATTATTTTATTTTTTGTTTTTTTTGTTTAGTGTAATTGCTAATCCCATCCAGATGGCTTTGCAGACTCAAGTAAGAAAAAGGTATTTGTATTGTTATATTATAGTATTTCATAAATTCAAGAATGGATACATTTTTTCATTTTCTTTTTTTTAAGTCCCTATTGTTCAACCTCTTTTATATTATCCTAATTTTTCAGAGTAGTCTGGAATGATAGTAAAGACATTTCTTTACTTAAGGAAATGATTGTAACAAATCCTTTCAGCTACAAGGAAAGAACCAGGGAAAGGGGTCAAATGTGGCAATCTGTGGCCTCTAATCTAAATGCCATGTGGGAAACTGATAAAACAGATAGCAGAGGATACAGGGAGCAATACAACCTGCTTAAGACAAAGCATGTAAAAAAAATGAATAAGGAAGAAAAAGCTTCGGGGATCTCCCCTAAAGAGACAGAAGTCGACAAGGCGATGGAGGAGCTGGTAAATCTTGAAAAGGAGTCTGAAACATCAAGTCTTCCATCTGATAATATAAAGAAAGAGAAGGAGGATGCGCAGGAAATGTGAAATAGATGTCTTAATGCCATGACACCAATTAAAATGTAAGATAGTTTGAATTTATATCCATATAAAAAAGGATAGTACTTCATAAACAATCAATCATGCTGAATCATTAAAAAAAATGTAGATGTGACTATGACAATATTTATTGATCTTATTTGTACTGCAGGACAAAGAGTGAAGATGTGCAAGACAAGAAAAGAAGGAAGTCGAATGAGACTATGCTCATGATCAAAGAAAAATTGGAGAGAGAATTAAAGTGGAGAAATGAAGAGAAAGAATTGAAAGAGAAGCAAATGGAGCAAGATGCAGAATTTAGAAAGCAAGAGGCTGCTGAAAGAACCAAACAAATAGAGTTGATGCAACAGCAAATGCTACAGCAAACTCAGCAGATGAACAATATTATGATAATGATGTTGGAAGTATTAAAAAATAAGTAATCAAATAATTATAAATATGTAATTAAAAGGTAATTTTAATAATTTAGCAGCCCCATGTTTTTTTTTATTCAGCTCTTTGTTCCATCTGCTTTTTTTGTTTAATGTTAAGCTTGCAAAATCTAGTTTACCTAACTCAAGTAACTTCTAAGTTGACCTTATTTTATATGCCAAAATTGTTGTGTATTCCCATTAACTAATGATCTGCAAGTCAAATTTTATCTAAATCTTAGGCAAGTTCACTATATCATATACTGTATAAATATAAATGAATAAACAAATTATAATCAAAATAGTTTAAATATTTTTAAATTGTATATTGTGTGTATACACTTAAATAAAACAATTTCCACAGATATACAGTATAGTTTTATGAATATTCATGTTTAATACTACTGCAAACCAATAAAAATCGTATCCAGGGAACAAACATTTCGTTATAATTTGTTACAAAGACTGTAGAAGAGGGAAGTGACAAACAACTACAAACAGCAAACTGTATCATTTGAACACTAACACTCCAAAACACAAGTGCAAAGAGGAATACATCACTACTTCATACTACAGTACTTGAAGAAAAGTTGTTATACAGCATTGATGGAGGTCATATAATTATTTAATTATTTAGCACTGAAGCAGTTACCAATGTGTTGCTGAATTGAAGAAACTTTTATTTGAGGGAAGGACTCTAATATACATTATTGCAAAGGCATCATCTTATTTGTTATGAGGCTCTAGGCTACTTTCACAAACAATTATTCCTAAAATTTTGTCTATACGCTTCGGGTACTAACTCATAAGCTTTAAGGATAGCCCCTTTCACTCTATCATAATCACCTCTCTCCTCAACGGACAAGCTGTCTCTTATACACATCTAGATGTGTATAAGAGACAGCTGAAGCAGTTACCAATGTGTTGCTGAATTGAAGAAACTTTTATTTGAGGGAAGGACTCTAATATACATTATTGCAAAGGCATCATCTTATTTGTCATGAGGCTCTAGGCTACTTTCACAAACAATTAGAATAGATATACATGTGATAGAACAGAGTAGGCCCTACTACTAGATTAAGGTAAGTAAAATTGTTTGTAATTTGGCTTCTTTAAATTTACTTCACCAATATACATTTGGCATAAATAAATAATAGGTAGGCTAGGCCCTAGGCCTAGAGAGGGATGTCCTTATCCTTATAAGGTGAATATATTAGGGAAAAATGTTGCTTAAATATAAATATTTAGAAACAGTAACATTATGATGTCCTAATTTTTTAACAACCACTCTAAAATGGTGGTAACTGAAACTCCTAACATTGGTGGGTCTACCCCAAAGACAGATGTTGTGACCGAAGAATTGTGTGTGCATTTGTGGGGAGGGCACACAGAAGGTAGATTTTGCCCACGGCACTCAGATTCATTTTTAGATTTTTCTTTAAATCTAAAAACGTGAAATAATTTACCACCTCATTGAATGTCCACTCTATGCTGACTCTAACAGAACTCAGTTAGCACTGTATTGTTCCTGAAGTTCTGTAAGATGATTTCCTTTAAATGGGCCTTGAAGTTGACGTCGTAACGGGTATGCCGGATCACCATATAAGCATAGTAGGACCAGTAGGACCAACTGAATATTGCTGGAATTGTTGGAGAAGCCCAGAATCTGCAAGCATACCACTATCATGCCGTTTTCCCAAGAAAGGGCCAGTCATATAAGCAATAAGTCCATTTGGTGTGGCAACCGACTGGAACTTAATGGCATGAACTCTGTCCATTGTACATCAGTCTTTGTCGTTCTCCTGGACAGCAAATGGGTCTAACTGTCCCATCGATGAATCCCCAGCAGTTGTCTAGTGGAGCACCTTTTGCATATGTACTGCATCAGCAAAGTTTTGCAAATTTTGTGGTGCCAGCCAAGGTTGATCCTGAGACGTTAATAAGTGATGAAAGTTGTTGTAGATTAATTCCAACACCTCATAAGTTGCCATACACAACTCTGGGACAGAACGGCCAAACATAGGAATTAAGTCTGCATAGCGACACGGATATGCACATCTTCTTAGCAGTGCACATAGTGCTTCTATCCCATCAAATATAGCCCCGTTACGAGCATATTTCACCAGGAATGTGGAAAACTTCATTCAGTTTAAGAATGTCATTCTTCTTGAATCTGAAATGAATTAAATCAAATTCGAAACCATGCATAATGTTGCCATATAGAAAATGAATTTCACTATGAAAAATAACATTGTTTCTTGTTTTGTGCTTTTTGTAATCCAATTGTGTGTGGGTTAATATTGTTATTGTCATTTAATTGTCAATTTAAAATTTCTATGTTTGTGCATTTCGTCAACTGATTTATAAAAGAAAAAATTATTTAATCACCCTCGCGCATATCTTCTAAGGTACTGAAAAAATAAAAATCAGTTTGGGGAAAAAATTGTAAATTTTATTTAATTTATTTTTACAATTTTTTTTATTTAATTGAACAGTTAGACCTAGACATAGTAGGCCTAGATATCATTCGTATTTTTTATTAATATGTTTTACCAAGGGTGAAATTTGGCAGTACGTATTGTTTTTATTCTATCAATCATGTTTTACCAAGGGTGATATTTTTCTTATTTCACAAAAAAAAAAATAAATAAATAAAGCAAAAAAAAACCTTTACTCATCACTTTTATTTACCATCCGGACTAGCTACATTAGAACAGATAGGGTGATAAACAAACTAATAATAATAAAGATAATATTTTTAGAATAGAGTCTTAGTTGTGTGTGAAAGATAATACATTCGATAAACATATATATAGGCCTAGGCCTAGGCCTAGGCCTAGACTAGCCGTCCTACCGTACTAGGGCCGGCCAGTCCCACAGTGGACTTAGGCCTACGCTAGGGCTGTCTCT